GGTAAGGGCACCCATGTCGTGCAATGCCCGTGGAGGACAGAAGAGGCCGTCAGATCCCCTGGAACTGGAGTTACCGACAGTTATTAGCTGCCATGTTGGTGCTGGGATTTGAACCCGGGTCTTCTGCAAGAACAACCAGTGTTCTTAACTGCTGAGCCATCTCTCCAGCCCCACAAAGAATATTTTAAAACAATTTTTAAAGATTAATTTTGTTTTTATTTATGTGTCTGTGTGTGTTATGTATGTATACAAATGTGTGGGTGCTGGAGGTCAGAAGATGGCAGCAGATCCCGTAGAGCTAGAGTTACTGGAAGTTGTGAGCTGCTAAAAGTGGGTGCTGGGAACTGACCGCTCATCCTCTGAAAGCAACAAGAGCTCTTAATGGCTGGGGCAGAGGCAGGGGAAGACATCTGAGAGGTGAGGTCACCAAGGTAGGCAGAGGCTGGCCCCCAGATTTTTTAAAAGACTATTTATTTATTTATTTAATTAATTTATTTATTTGTCTTTTTGAGACGGTCTCCCTGTAGCCCCAGGTGGCCTAGAACTCACTGTGTAGACCAGTCTAGCTTAAGTTTAACTTCTTTTTTAAAAAATCATTCGCTAGGCATGGCAGCCCATGCCTTTAGTCCTAGCACTCAGGAGGCAGAGGCAGGCTGATCTCTGTGAGTTCAAGGCCAGCTGGGGCTACAAAGAGACTCTGTCTCAAAAGGACAAAAAAAAGTTTATTTATTTAATGTGTATATGAATGTTATGTCTGTATGTATGTAAGTATACCTGTGTTGTGCAGTGTCTACAGGAGAAGGCCTGAAGAGGGCGTGGGATCCCCTGGAACTGGAGCTGTGGATGGTTGTTAGTCCCTAGGTGGGTACTGGGATTCAAATCTGAGTCTTCTGCAAGAGCTTTTAACTGCTGAGCCATCTCTCCAGTACTGAATTACAAATGTGATTACTGATGGAAATGCTGACTTCACTTCTCCACTTTTTTTCTTCTTTTTTTAGGTAAGAGTTTCTCTGTAGGCCCAGCTGTCCTAGAACTCACTTTACAGACCAAGCTGGCCTCGATCTCACTCGATCTCAGAGATCCAACTGCCTTTGGCTCCTGAGTGGTAGGACTGAAGGCATGTGCCACCACACCAGGCCTGCAGAACATTTTTATCAGGTTTGATCTTTTTAAAATTTGTGCGTGTATGTGTATGTGTGAGTGCACACACATGCCACAGTACATACGTGGAAGTAAAAGAACAACTCTCTACCCCCAAGCCATCTTTCTAGCCCTTATTTTAACTTTTAAATCTTTTGGGAAAACTCTTTTTATCCAAATTTCTCCATTCTCTTAATATTTCTTTTTCCCTAATATAATGCTAATTTTATTTCAGGCAGAAATATAAGACTTACACATTTTGATTTCAGTGATCTTCTTGGTTGGCATTAGGGGCTCTTCTGGCAGAGTTAGAGCCAAAAACACACAGTCTTCTAGTAAGGACCGAGTTCCAGGAAAACTCTTGTCATCACAATTTAGAAGGACAGACAGGTCTGGGGAGATGGTAAAGTGTTTGTTTGCTGTGCAAACAAACTCAGATGGATCTAAGTTCAATATCTAGTATCCATGCAAAAGCCGGGTGCAGTGGTGCGAACCTATAATCCCAGCAATGGGAGGTGGAGACAGGAAGATCCCTGGGCTCACTGGCCAGCCAGCCTAACTGAATTGGCAAGCTCCAAGCTTAGAGACAGACACTGTCTCAAAAACTAACATGGAGAGTGGTAGAAAACTCTAGCCTCTATGTGCACCTGCACACATGCTTACACACACACACACACACACACACACACACACACAGGTAGAACATTTGGAACATGCCATGTGTCAGAGCTCACCAAACTCCTCACTGCCTATAAGTGCCTGTGGTACACTTAGATACATTCAGGTAAAACACTCATACATATAAAAATAAAGATAAAATTTTTTAAAATTCTTTGCCTTAAAATCATTAACCCACTTTTAATGATGATTAAGATGGAAGAATGGGGGCTGGAGAGATAATTCAGTGGTTAGGAGCACCACTGCTCTCGCAGAAGACCTGGGTTCGATTCCCAGCACCCACATGACAGCTAACAACCATCCATAACTCCAGTTCCAGGGAGCACTGCACAACATGGCTACATTTATATACATGCAGACATAACACTCATACACTAAAATTAATTAATTAATTAATTAATTAATTAATTAATTAATTAATAACAAATAAAATCCAATGTTCCGCCAGGCATGTTGATATATGCCTGTGATCCTCAGGAAACTGAGAAAGAAAGATCACAAGTTTGAGACCAGCCTGAACTAGAAAGCAAGATTCTCTTTAAATAAAAAAATTCAATGTTTCACACAGTTCTAAAATTCTGTTTCCCTTAACCCCCAAGATCTCTACTAATGTTATAACTTCTAGACACCTGATTCACAACCTCAGTCTGGGCTCTCTTCCTTATCAACAGCCAGTTATTGAAACTTTGGCTTTACCTTTAAAATCCACCTAAGATTTTGTCCTTTGTCACCTCTGTCTTTTCAACTGGCTTTCTTGGTCATTTCAATTTGGAATTCCAGGTAGTCTGACAACTGACCTGTTTGCATATACTCAACACTTAGGCCCTGAGTACCTATCCACTCCATAGATTAGGAACTGACTAGACACTAGAAGATAGTTATGAATTATCAGACCCGGATCCTGTTTTGAAGAGGCCCTATAGGGAAGTAAAAGAAATACCCAATACAATGAGATGGAGATGATTTGAAGGGTCAAGGTCAAGGAAGGAGCTAAGGGGAATTCACATAGGACAGAGAATGGGAAGGGTTCTTGAGATTAAAAACTGAAGGAACAATTACACAGCAAGTATGGGAAGGAGGGATATTCCAAGCAAACAGTGGACAAAGTGAGGGGAAACAGTGGAATCAATGACTTGGCTGAACTATGCCTGAAGGAAACGAATGCCTTCCTCCAGACAAAGGAAGGCCTGTATTAGCTGTTTTTAAAGCCTGCGTGTGAGAGATGAACTGAGCTGCCAAAACAAGTTCAAAACAGGTTTGAATTGTCTTTATCCCCCTAGTACTGGGGATGGAACCAAGGGTCCTGAACATGCCAGGCGAGTACTCTACCACTGAGCTTTACATCCCTCAATCCCCTCAAAAGAGCTTTAATATTCCAAGCCAGGTTTTTGAAGTCAGGATTAATGTGCAGTGGGAAGCTAATTGGATTTAGGCAGTAAAAGATAGGGATAATGCACTAAGATAAAGATTACATCAGAATGACCTCGGTGGATTTTGAATTTCCTATTTTCATTTGTCATGAAATCTTATTCTTATCATTTCCCCTAACCATATAAAAACAAGGCTGGGCCCAGCATGTATGCGAAAGCCTTGGGTTCAATCTCCCAGCAAAGAAAAATCATCTTATATTTAACATGGCAGAATTTCACTTCTATCTCTATAAATAAGCAAACTATGGAGATGTTTAAGTAGGGACTGCTGACTCTGAATGGAAAAATGGATTAAGTCTCAAAGTATCAAGCTTGAAGGATGTACCTGGTTGTGCAAAGTGACTACTGGGAGGAGGAAGACTATACTGTGAGAGGAGGAAGGAGGAGCATATCGACTAGGCCTGCAACAGTAGATTGGAAAGTCAAATGCATTTTTATTTAAACAATTCGTTTTTCTTCAGCTGTCAAAAATCTGTGAACAAGATTTTCCCCCTTCCATTATACACGAATAGCATTTAGAAGTCAATTAGCAAGAACAGACTTTCTTACAGGCCATCAAGCATGCCAACAGGTCCTGAAGAGGCAATACTGGAAGCCATGGCCTCTTTAAGCCAAAAAAATCTAAAGAAAAACGTCATTTCCAAAGGCTCCCAATTTTCCAATGGGATAA